AAAGTTCTATATCGAAAAATCGAAATCGTCATATGTGTCCTACGGTTTAGTAGTAAGCCGCCCCTGATAGTCATATTGTAAGAAAATATCGAGGAAAGCGGCTAAAGTTGAAGATTCTACAGTGTCATTGATTCAATGTACATAAGCGTACATGTATATACGATCGACGTGATCAACGGTTTTCTTAATTGTGATAACGTATCGTCCATATATCTGAAATTAAATTGAAGGACTTGGTAAGGTTTTTGTTTCGACTTCTGATAAACTCTTCAATAAATTCAGCCTCATGCAGAAACAAATCGGCCAAATAAGAACCACAGTTTATTCCGACATCTTGCCACCGAAATCAACAAAGGTATTATGAACAAGGAACTAACTGTTCTCACAATGTTATGCTCGGTATATTTCCAATTTTGTATTAATTCATCATAAACATGACAACCTGATCTATTGACAGAGATTTTTGAGTCAGGTGGTATGTGAACTTCTAAGCTGTTAAAAGCCTGTATGGTTCAATTTCTCTTAAAGAAAAACAATGGTATTGTTGTCATTTTTCAAATAGATGGCTAGTTATCTGAATTCTGCAGTATCTACAAATTACGACGACAATTATGTATGAACGTGCAGTGACCAGTGAAATATCAGGAAATATTTATAAAAAGAAAAACCCACATTTATCTTGAAGGTATACGAAGTATTTTATAATTACACGTGATGATATAAGGTACTCTATCGATTTTACATTGACCAATCAGAACCGGAATTTCCTTTTCCTGCTTTCAAAGCTGCAGATGTTCTGTTAAGCTGCATTGAAGCCACAGCTAAAAAAGTAGCTGTTTTTGTACAACTTTGGCTTGGCAAATACATTAAGTAATCAACATTAATACTGCATATAATTGATAACTTTTCTTTTCTTTTTGTAAGCGAAACGGTAGAATGGCATTGAATCGCACATTCAAAACGCAATAATATTTTCGTCACTGCACTTTCAAAAATATAATTAACAGAACATCCAATGGTTTCCTGTTGAATGCTAAATGTATTTCACTGATGTCACCTCCATTTTGTATATTTTTACGACTTGGAAAAGAATTCTGCCATACTCGTTAAATAAATATTGTATTCAAAAGAAAACTATCAAATATACCGCACCTATTTTATGGATTGCAGAATTTATGTTTTTATTTTGCATATACCGTCTGAAATAGAGCTGTAGTCGCCAACTACATGTACCATGTGTCGTCAGCAACACTTTTACCGAAAATCGACGTAGTAGTTCACACGATTTAAGCAGTGTTTATGTAGAAAGATTCTTAGAAATATAGGCACGAACCAATTCATTTAAACAAATGTTATCATAACTTTTCTTAACAGGACGTCATGTTTCCACATTTCAGGCTAATAAACGTAAAATATAGAATTTACATATTTTAATCAAACATGTTTTATTCACATGGAATAGTCAAAGAGATTGGGCACAGTTTCTTACAATTTACTAGGCCCTCTCGCAACAATACAATATACAACTAGTACAAATATCACGTGATAACAAACAATTTAATACATTTTGCACATAATAGCTGACATGTTAAAAAGAAAGAGAAAGGAAAGGGAGTGAGGAAAGCAGAGAAAATGGGGATAAGAAAAGTGATCTGGTGCATTGGTTGTCCACTAAATTTTTCAAACCTTTTTGTAGATTTTATATAAGACTACACAGCGAGAATGATATGTATATTAGTTTGAAATGGAAGATCAGCATCTATGATATAATATATACAGGAAATCAACATTATTGTATGTTAACCCTTTTTTTTATATATTCTTCAGAGAATACGAAATACGAATTGGGTATACTTCTTTGTCAATGCGCTAGAACAACATATTCTGCAAACATTTATTAAATTCATAAAACAAGTAGAGTTGTAGTGAACATAGGTTGGAAACTGAACCGCATATTCCGTCTTTGCATATTGCAGAGTTATCTTCTCTTGCGAGCAGGTATTGATTGTTACGTCACTTGTTTGTGAGAGTAACGTCATCAATTTTCGAGAAAACGAAGTAATTTTCTCACACAAACCAATGACGTAACAATCAATACCTGCTCCCAAGAGAAAATAACTCTGCAATACGCAAAGACGGAATAGCGACTGCCATGACGGTTCCTGTTTCGCCTAATGATATTATAACTGTCACATTAGATTAAAGATAGTGATTTTACCTTAATAAGGCCCGAAACAAAAATAGCATACAGGTAGTTGAAACTCCGTCTATGATCACGAATATTTATTTCCTCCGAAAGCTCTAGTTTATGATTCACAACAGTACAAATCAAAGCGGCTAGAAATGCAATGTTAACTAATAACTCTTTCTCTCACAGTTAGAGTTATACACATATCTACATACAATATATTTAATGCATGCCATCATATGCTCGTTTCTGTTTTGATTTCAGTAAACATACTTGCTGCGTTATGGACGGGCCTTCACATGACATCATTGGTAGGCCTTTGCTTGACTACTATCACGTGACATCATTGGTAGGCCTTCACTCGACTTTTATCACATGACATCATTGGTAGGTCTTTGCTTGACTACTATAACATGACAACATTGGTAGGCCTTCACTCGACTTTTATCACATGACAACATTGGTAGGACATCACTAAACAAAAGACACATGACAACATCGGTAGGCCTTCACTAAACTACTATCACATGACAACATTGGTAGGCCTTTGCGGTTTTCACCAGACTACATACTGACACAAACGAATCTGCGAGAGTGCTCTGATACAGATCTGTCATGGTTTAAAACACTCAATTACACCTGATTGAGATTAGAATACAGCATGTTTATCTTACGAGGTTTTCTCTTTGGAAACTAGGATAACACATTATTTAAGGTTATATTAAGTATTTAATTTAACTTTATCGTAACCGTAAGATGCTTCATCTGTAATTGGAGCAATGGTTCATGATGGTATACTCTGTCGGAATCCGTGTTTACAGTATCAGTTCCATTCATTTACGGAATCTGTCGCCAACAGTAGTCCCTTTAAGCATTGAAATGTTACCAGATGCTGTATACAGTCGATATGAATGCAATTTGGGTGACAGATAGATAGAATGTCACCCGTTAGGACATAACATCTATTTTGAAGTGATGCGGCGCTGAACGGTCTCGATTATTTCCTCGGAAACGCTTATGTTTCCATCGACTGGAATATTACGTTATTTTCGGAAGCATAGATATTCGGAAATTGTAATTAAAGTGGTCCTTTCAGTAGCTGATAACGATTCCAAGGACATTTCGTTGAAACAGATTCCATGTCTAATCGGTCAGATTAGCATCGCTAGCATTTTGAGTAATGGATGACATCACTGAAGAACCAAAACACTTAAAAGATATTTATCCACATTCTAAAACCTTGTCGATACCCTCGACTTTTACAAGGTTTTATAAATGCTTAATTTTAATGTTGTGCTTATTCACTGATGTTATGCATAATTCAAAATCTCGAAACCGAGCTCCTGTGTGATGACGTTGACAAACTTGGTAATTTCGTATCTTGAATGGCGCTTACAATAATTTTGTGGTACCTACACATCTTATAATAAATTTATATTGTCATAATTTGTAAAGATGCTTTATTTTTTGCGATGACCTACATTGCTAAATGCTAACGAACCCAGAAAGTTCTTTGACTATATGCCTATTGATCCCGAAAGAATCTGGTTACCATGTTTGTTTACCTAGGACACCTGGAGCTGTATTCCTACACTGACCGAATCACTATAAATTGCAGTATACAGTCTCATATACTGGAATTCGGTTTACTAACAACATATAGGCTATGCAACACAGAATGTAAATATAAGTTATTATTCATGAACTTCAGATCTACTATCAACCAGTTTTAGTTAACAATGTTATTTGGACGTTTAATTAAATCTTTTCTATGTGATTTGTACTATTTATCACATAATGTACTGTCTTATCCAGTGAATATGCCCATGCCATAATTTTGCCTATTAACCCATGTAATATAACTTTGTATAAATCTACGTCATAACTACATTACAACATAAATAAATTCAAATAATTTCATTTATGAATGAATGCCAATGTTCTCTGCCTGAGCTGCACCAACGTTATGCCTAATAAAAATATCTTTTACATGCATAAACAAACTAATATGAATAAAAGTTAAATAAACCGTCATGTATGCGCCACCTGGTGCATACGTAGTAACTCGTAGTTATTCTCCCTGACTATGCCTATCAGCCCTGTGATTCGTTGTAAGTTTCAACTGTTTCAATTGTGACGTCACACCTAGCACAAGTACATGACGTCACAGACTTACAAACTTGAGTAAAAATGACAGCTTTTTACATTTCAAGGTTGTATGAAAAATGTCGTTTTACACGAATAAATCCCTCAAATCTTGATTAATCTTGATTACACCCGTTTTCATTTCATACGAAATTTATGAAACTCGTCACGTACTTTTCATTTTAGCACGCCAGAGTCTCGCTTAATTGCGAAATTCTTAGACTCGTTTTATAAATCTCATATGAAATGGAAACTCATGTAAGATCCTTTATATACATAATTGCGTGTTAGTCATAAGAAAAGTACCTGTAATATTCAACGTTTGTTTGTATGTTCCATTTAGTCTATATCATTACTGCAAGATGAAACGAATGAAAGAAAAAAAAAACATTTTTACTGCTCGGGTTGAATCCGGGGCCAATCGATTCCTGATATATATTTATATATAATTCATGAAGAACGAAATTTACAAAATCTAAAAAGAAAACATATTTTACTCTGGGAACATTGGGGACCATTAGGAATACATAGCAAATATACTTTTGGATTAGGCTAAATATTAAATTCCACAAGTACATTCAGGTAATTGAGACTTCAATTGTATCGATTTGAAAAAAAATCAGGGAGTTGGAGAAAAGTATATGCTGTATTTTATAATTTTCATTACCTTGATTTTTGACCGCCATTGTAGGAAATCCCGGAAATGATCACTGTTTCCGGGGGAAGTTCGTTTCCATAGTAAAATCCCCACAATGGAATATGTGACGGAGAGTATAATAAGCGGAATGACGTAAGTAAACAAAAGCACGAAGATGGTGTAGACCCTGCGGGAGTCAAGAGAGGGCCATACCTCGTTACATATAAGGGTCTGTTTACCTAGGTAGTGACCCCGAGCCACACCCAACTGAACTGACGCCAGACCAATCGACGCTATCCATATCAATGATAACACATATTTTGCACGTTTTTGCGTGAAACGTAAACGTAAAGGAAATGTCACTACCAAGAATCTATCGATACCAATGGCCATGTTCGTAAAAACACTTGATGCCACAGACAGTAATTGGACAAACAAAACGATAGGACACATGGGCGCTGAAAATATCCATGTTTGAAAAATAGCATCCGCAAAAGTAAATGGCATACAGAATATTGCCATGAGTAGGTCGGCGACCGCCAGGTTGATGAGAAACGGACGTAAGTCTGTCCGGGAACGCTTACCCCGTGCAAAAACAATGACCGCCAAAGCATTTCCGATAACTGACAATAATGTGGTTACAGCGTATAAAGTAGTCAATCCAACTATTGAGTCCTTGGTTAAATTTAAATTGGAATCCTCTGTCTTTCCTTGCGAATTATTCCTAGAAAATAAATTTATGGCAGTTGTGTTATACAGTTCATCCATTGTCCAAAGAACCGTCTGACAACTAAATTATTAGATGTGGAATGTGTCCGTGAGAGTACGCATAGTGGATCGATGCTGGCCAATACAAATGACCACACGGTCCACGCACATGCCTTTTCATTGATACCGTTATAAACCTGCCAATTACATTTATAATCGTGAAACTGGCGTTATTACAGCAACGCGTATTTGTACGCCCCGCGTCGGCATCGACAAACTCGTGATAGTCATGTCACAGCAGCGGTCTGCTAGCTTACTGATACTGTACGAATGGACCCTTTAACTCGCCAGGTATCCATTCCGCCTTCCGTTCATCTCGCGCTTCATGTACTGAACAAACAACAGTGACTGGCGCACGCGACTAAGATATCCTGATCGCCGTGTACAGGAAATCACACTACAAGTGCGCGATTTATCTCGCGCATCTCGACGCTGTTACCTTGTGGCACCAGAACCAGTGTGTCTTTACTAAAAAAATGTCTGACTCCCAAGGTAGACTTAAACACTCTCAGAATGGTACAGGTTTACACAGGTTTCGCCTATTTAATGGTAACGGTATCTCTTTATCAGAACATGCTTTGCAATTACGCACAATAAAACCAAACAATTGGCAGAAAGTAATAAATGAACCGTTTTGTTCCAATGGATAGTAGTCTGGCAGATATTTCTGTTCACGTAAATTCTTAATTATACAGACATTGTATGTAATGGTACATTATGTTTAAACATATTTTACTGCTTTTAAGCTTTTAGACAAATTGGTTCTTTTAATCTGTTGAAGCAATAAAAACTATGTTTTTATCTAAAAACAATGTACAAGTACACACAATATCTACATGATAAGCAAAATATTACTGTACATTTAATGTAGGAAATTGGTGTTCACGTAAACTATCATATACAAATTATTGTCGAATATTAATGTTGACGTAGATTATTTTTCATATCAACATTGTATATACTTGTATTAACTAGGTATAGTAAGTCGAAAATATTTTTTCAGATATATATCAATCCTTCAATCTTTTAACTGATATAGATAATAAGCGTTCATGTAAAATAATCAAAACATGAACCTTTATGAATGTTTTTAATGGACATCGAGATAATGTCGGCTATTAGTGTTCATGTAGAGTTTCAGTGATACATCTTGCATACTTGTGATAACTCTATATAATATAAAATATAAATGTTCACGTGAATTATTTGTGAAAAGATATGTAATAATTATAATTGCAATATATTTTGTCAAACAATATTGTTGAAGTATATCATTCATTCTCAAGAACTTGTTCATATATTCTTAATGACTTTATGCAATTATGCATGAATGTATTATCTTTATATTTTCTATCAATATACCAAGCTTGAGCCTATACTCTTCGAAGTGAAAGACAGATAGCTTTTCCTGTTAAGATAGTGCATGTGGTCGCAACTGCTGCCATTTAGACAAAGACTTACCGACTCATGTTTGGAATGTATTCAGAGCCAACAGCAAAGATTCTACTTCTATTTTCAATCTCATGAATAGTTTGTTCAATGGCACCAACCATGCTCATTATCTCTGCCTCGAGGCTAAATATATCATAATGAACTAACCTAAATATCCCTGCTCTGATCGACCTGAGATGGGAGATACTATCACACGGCTTAGTGATGCAGATGGGAGAAGATTTGAGAAAGTTTTGAAAGGGAAGAACCCGCGAGGTGTTGCAGATGAGTTATAGTTGAGAGTAATGTATGTGAAGGAACCGGAATCACGATACCCTACACGTATCATTTTGTCAGATCTTGAAATGTTTCCAACACCACAGAAAATTGTTTGAAAAGAGTCAGTTAGATTCTTCCTATCGATATGTAAACATACGCACCAACGAGCACACACGCGAGGAAGATAGAACTAGGTCAAGGATTAATACATGTCAACAATCTAGGAAACTGTTGGTACTTTTGGTCTTCCTCAAATAACTTAGTTTTCTTTGTGTATGGTCCAGCTTGCTGAAGTGGTCAGAATCAGCTTGAAGTCGTATATCTTGGCAGTTTTCTAAAATTCAATCTGTTTGCATCAGTTTGCGTTTATGAGAAGGCAGTCTCCGTCCAGTGTTTCATTAATAAAAATGTATGAACTGCTTCGCATTCAAATGCATTTAATTTGCATTTTTACGGGAGATGGGTGTCACCGGGATAAAAAAAAAAAAAAAGGAAAAGTACAAGGTTAAGGGTGTGTCTGAGTGTTGTCTTTTTCTGAAATACCAATGATATTCATCTTTCCTCTTTTGGAATGATAAGGTATATGAACGATATAAATATCCGTTATAGATAATTAATTCCCATCGTCTCTTTTGACACCACTTGAAGGCGGACTCTGGTCGTGCGGCATTCAAAGTCCTACATGTATAATTAACAAAGAAGTGTAAGGTTATAGAGTGGCATTGGCCCACTAATGTTAATGCACATATGTTTCTTTTCGTACGAGAGAGTATCTTGAATTTGACTCTTTTTTCCTATGTAATATTTTCTTGAACTTACACAAGAAATTTACGCAATTATATTTCCTAATGTGTATCTAGCTTTTCAGGTTGTCACATAACACAGAATGTATACTCAAGTTTTATTAGTCTAACTGTGAACATGGCATATGAAGCCAGACCGATGCTGATTGAAAAGCCTGAAGCCAATTTGAGGAAGAACGGAACTACAATGTAGTACATTTCCTGCAAAGCTGTCAAATGTCTAATGTCTAAAACCTTTACATTTAGTAACTTCTCAATCAATTTTAGCGTTAGAGAGTGACATTTTCTAGGTCAGGAAGCCTGTGTAACTCTGACAACACGGTAACCATGGGCTGCACATTGTTCTCCTCACAACCACCTATTTGATATGGTTTCTGTTAGATAATTATCCTCTTCGACTGGTCGACCTTTACTGAGAGTGTATCACTATAATGAGAACAGCCAATTTTATATATGCTTGGTATGTAGACAGAAATTGGTCCACGTGTCAAATGTAATCGATGTTTAAACGAGTTTTTAATAAATCGGTCACAAAGTAACATTTGGGTATCTACAAAGATATATTGCCAATACGTGTTTGTTGTTAATCAGTCGACAACTATCATGTTGGTGACTTCCACTTTTTAAGCACCCCTGCTCTGATCTACTGCAAATGTCACGTTTACGTATGAGCATATTCAGGTGGATGTGTTATCAAAAACCTAGGTACCGAGACGCGGTAGGGGGCTGATAGAACAGAACACGCCGTAAATCTTGTGAAACCTTTCTACCAAACGGAAACTAAAGAGTTACTCTACGGGGAGCTAACTCTATCAATCATCGTAATATAAAGTTATGAAAAATGCGACGACAGGCATAACGTATAACTCATCATATTAATACGGCAGAGTTGCCTAGGTCATTAACCCATTTTTTAACCGCCTGTCTGACACATATCAGAGTCTGTTCGGGGCTAGGGATACACGAGATGGTATTTGACTTCCAAAGCCCTCCATTGTGGTTTATTAATACACAACTAATACCCAAGCATACACCTGAAACTTACAGACGGCACTTGATTCCGCGTCAAAAAAGAAATAAAAACAAGATTTTCACGGGAGAGGATGTGTCGCCTGATCAGCGCTTTTGTCGAGAAAATAAATTCGGCTTGAGTTATCGCGTAAACAAGCAAAAATTAACGGCAAAAACGATGAACAGCATTGTTATGTCAAGTGTGATATTTCAAGACACGGAGAGTTGAAACTCGACAGAAAAACCAGTGATATATGTTGAACATTATTGCTTCTAGCATTACCGTACACAATCTTAATGGAATTGATTAAAAAATAAAAAAAGTTCTTGCATTTATTACACAATGCCCTTATTTTGGCAATAAGGAGGCATACCTCCACCAAAAATTTATGTCAACTTCCTACTACATTGTTATGCAATATGTGTACCAAGTTTAGGTGCAATCAACCCAAGGGAACTCAAGATATCGCACGGAAACCTTGTTTCGGACAACGCAACCGACGCCGCCGACAAAGTAATACCTACATGTCGCCTTGAGTTGCAGGCGACTCAATATACACTACGATGAATAAGCTATTTGTAGACTGGCTACCAGCCCGTAAGTTTTTTATGAAGAATTTCTCGACTGCATTTTACTACTAGCTTATCTCCCCCTAGAATCAGACATTCAAGTGATCAAAACTATTCCAGTTAAATTGTTTACTTAAAAGTTCAATATTCTAGAGACGGGGGCCAGTCTTAGCTATTTGTTGAAGTGGCTTAGATTTCAAATGCCTCATCAAATTGTTTATTGATTAATATTTTTGAGGTTACAACGAACAAAGAGGGAATGGATATTTTGAAGTAGATGTGATTGGTGTATCCAACCAACAACCGTTTTACTAATTTCTGTAAACATCATATGAAAATCATCACAACGTATAAACTGTTACATGATATGGAATCACCTAAAATCGAAAAATAAAACGTTGTGTATTGTAGCACTCGGGGGAGATCTGCCTACATAAACACATTTACAATAATGAAGTTGGCCTCCATTCTCTACTTATTCCTAATGTATTGAAGGCCAATGTACTCAAAATCCGTTTAAACAAAAAATTAAGGTCAACAGAAATTGCAAGGTAGACGAAAATATAGCTTTTGTATACCAGATAAGTTAATCAGAAGGGTAAGTATCAAGAAAGGCTTCATTTCGGGCTAATAAACTACACAATATAACATAGGTCATGCGCTGTTTACGACACGGCTGTTCCTGCCGTAGCTTTCACCAACTTCAATTTATCGCCAGGTCGAAGGCCACCTACACATACAAAAACATCTCTCTTTATCTTATGTTGTAATTACATACTACCGCGTATACACATACTTTAATCGGGAATATATTGAAATTAGGGGCTAGCTTTGTCCTTGTGTTCTCAATATAACGTAGTTGTGATGCTATAAACAATGATTACAAGTTATACATACAACCTGCTCTAATGAGTACAGATAACACAATTTTCACCAAAAATGCCAGCTCTATTGATTACAGGTAACACCCACAACATATATCAACACCTAGCTGTATTAACTACAGATAAGACTACTCAAACCATTAGCCAGCTCTAGGGTGATTAGATTATACACCAAAACCTATCCCCAACTACCAACCCTGTTTACTATAGAGAACACCTTCAACCAATTCGCTAAGTCAATTATCTTCTTTGAGTAAAGACATTTTAAAGTCGAGAACACACAAGCTGATCTGACAAATGCCCATATTCGTGAGAATTCTTTACAATATTGTCATATTTTGAGTTATATCGTTGAATGCTCTTTA